ATCTATCTGCTGGCAATTGTTTTTAGTTCTGAAATGTAACTGCAAGGGCAAAAAGCAAAATGTATTTAACTCACTTGGCTTAAAACAAAGCACACCATACCTTTTTTTTAGGTTGTTGCAAAAGAGTCTGACCAGTTTGCCCACATTTGCTTGTGAAGAATACCATTTCACAGGAGGTTCAGAAATTATTGCTTTTGGAGAGTGGGCTACCTATGCATTTACATTTGCTGTTACACAGTCAAAATCAGGCTACTTTTTAAAACCAATTCCTCCCCTCACCCAAACAGTACGTTGGTGACAGCTCCCTCACATCAAGGCAGGGCCCTTTCCTTGCAGCGTTTGCAGGTGATGCAGTGTTGGGACGGGGCCAAGGTTCATAAGAGGTGGCAGGAGGTACCTTAGGTTGCACATGGGTCCACTGATCCACCTGGGACTACTCCAGAAACTGAGCTCCAGGCAGTTTGGGGGAGTGTCATTGCTGAACCTTCCTCCCCCTCACATTTTCAGATGTGAAAAGTGAAAGCTCTTGCATAGGCTGGAGCACAGAGCCCTGCATGGTTCCCAGCCGTGTGGTCACTTGGAAGCCCAGGGTTAAGAAATGCTGTAGCAGGACTTTCCATTTGGGAGGTGAAGAGAGAAGCACAGAGTAGTGGTTTCTGTTTTCAAAGTATGGTTCAAGAACGGACCTCAAATATGAGGAAGTTACAGCACAAAGCAATTAATAAAAGTATACCTCATGCCCTGGCCGGTTTGGCTCAGCGGTTGGAGCATCAGCCTGCGGATCAGAGAGCCCCAGGTTCATTTCCCGCTAGGGACACATACCAAACAAGAAAAAAAGTGTACCTTATATTATACAAAATAGTGCAATGGAGGCACTTTGAGATACCTAAGTTGTAGCTTTCTGCACATGAGAACAGAAGTTCTCTCTCTGGTTCCCAGACAGGCTCCATTTACAGGCAGCCTTCAGATAAACAATGCAAACAGCTGAGAATATTTAGGAACTTCCCTTCCCCTCCCACAGCTACTGGGGGATTTCTTTCCCCTTCCCCTACACGAGAACTCCATCTCCGCCACAGTCCCTTGTACCTCCTTTGGTTGATGTTCCCACTTTGCACAGTTATGGCAAAAGTTGGTGAGTACAGTGATGTCCTGAAAGGTGAGAAGGCAAAAAGGAGGAGGAGGCCAGAGGAAACTGTCCCTTTCATCCTTGTCTTGCACTCCTTCCTCAGAACCCAAGGGAGGATCCAAAGGAGAGAATGCTACTGGAGCTGAGGGCACACTGACTGTGCCATGACTGCATTATAGATACTCCTTCATTCCTTAAGGCAGCCAGGTGGGGCTGGACGCTCCAAGGCCTGTTGCCTCTGCAGCCTCTTCGGGGATACCGTAGGGAACTGCTGGGGCAGAGCAAACTTTCATGTAAAGTTATGTTCATGCAATCAGGCTCAAGTTCCTCTTAAGTTTAAAAATATCTTATTTAAAGCTTTATTCAAATTCAGTATTTAATAATCAAATACTTTACATTTTTGTTATAATTTAAGAAAATTGAACACACACATATATATCCTAATTCCAGTTTAATCTCAATAATGTCTAAAATATTGTATTTTACAAATAAAAAAAGCACTGGAAAGCAATGTCCTATGTTATATTTATTAGTATAGCACCCCATTTGGGGTTCCAAAGGCCAATGCACTGTCCAGGTAACCTAACCATTGTTAATGATTTTGATTCCATGAGTAAATAAGTCCTGATTTCCAAACTACATATTACAAACTCATATTTTCCCTACCTGTGGGTAGAGAAAGCCTCATCAAGTAAACTGGCAACAGTTACAACTTATTTTTATTTTATTTTTTAAAAATATTTTTATTTATTTTTTAGAGAGAAACGAAGAGAGAGAGAGAGAGAGAAACATTGATGAGAGAGAGCACTGATTGGCCACATCCTGCATGCCACCCACTGGGATCGGGCCCACAACCTTGGCACGTGCCCTGACCAGGAATCGAACTGGTGACCTCTTGGTGCTTGGGTTGATGCTCAACCACTGAGCCACACTAGCCAGACACAACTTATTTTTAAAGTGCATTTTGTTTCCTGCAAACAGCTTCAAGAGAGCTGTTTTGTAATGTACTTTACAGTGACTTCTTGAGTAACTCCACTCTGCTTATGCACACTCTGACTCAGGTGGCTTCTCTTTGGCCAGTTTAAACCTCACTTTGCTAGTGCTGCTGAAAGAACAGGATCATATCTGTAAGCCCATGTTAACAGCCCTGATCAAGAAAAATGCAAGTAGTCTGCAAACTTTTCCTTTCTTTTTTAGTTGTTCAGTCTCTATCCAGCCACCAGATCCAATCTTTGTTAGAGTTTTAAAGTGTTTTTTGAGTAATACCTCTTAATTCACCTTGCTAGATAAAAGCTGCTATTGCATAAGTACTAAACAGCCAGAGAGAACCCTGCTGGACCAACCATTTCATCAGCCCCCCTAAAATGCAGCTCTGTTTAGGAGACTTCTATATAGGAAGTTAGGCTAGTATTTAGTTTCCAGAAGATGAGGTGTGGTTTTAATTATCTCATTCAAGTGGGTGGAGGCAGGAATAGTTCCATGTTTCTATTTTTAAAATGCTTATAGAGATTAGCCCTTGTTGGTCAAAGACAACAGATGATGGAGAGATGTGTCTCACGTTACCATTAGAGGTAACAATCTGACCAACCTGGTTTACAGAGAAAATGGCATTCAAATTTTGTGTTCAGCCGAGACTGGGATGGTCTGCTCTCAAGACAAGGCCTTATTCCATGGAGTCCCAGTCCAGACCAGTAGGGCTTCTCTTCCCTTACTGGGCCTCCTGCCCCTGCCCCGTTAGAGCCCCAGTGTTGGTCCAAGCAGTTCTCCCTCCCTCCAGATCCAGAAAGACAAGTCCCCAGGAAGGGCTTCTCCTCCTGGCGGCTGGGATCCCTCCACTCCCCGTCAGGAACACCTGGAGAGTTACAGGAGATGGAACACAACCCGGGTCATTCCTGTCACTGCACTCTAGTATTTAAAAAAAACTGAGGGGTGTGGGTGATTTAGTTCATAGTCGGTCATTCAGTTCCCCTTTTGGGCTCACTTTTACTTACTTTGCTATCACCCTCATCCGTGCCTGACCTGAAGCACTAGGAAATGATGGGAGTTAAGATCCTACAAGGAGGGCCTTGCTTGTCACCTCAGCTAGTCTAGGTCTGCCAGCAATTCTCATGTGACTTCCTGGGGTCAGAATAACAATGCACTTTCAGATAAACGTGTAGGGCTCATGAGCCCAGCCGGTTTGATGCAGTTTTCAAGGAGCTTGGGTTCTACAAAGGGCAGGGCGTGGCCTCAGAGTGGTGGAGCCTTTGAATCTGGACTCTGCCTGGCAAGCCCGTGTCCAGGTGGGTAAGGCGGAGGGGATGTCTGCCTAATACAATCTTTCCTCGTTCGGGCTGTCTCGCCAAATGTCTGGCTCATAGTAGGCGCTTGATACTATGGCCGTTCTGGGGGGAGGGGGCGCTATAACGCAGTTATTGGGAATGTCCCGTCAAGTGGATTTCACCGAGAGAGGCGATATTTTCCTAGAACACGCTTCCGGCTTCACCTGGAGTAAAGCTTTCCACTCAAGAAGGAAGAACACGCTAAACGATCTTTGATCTTTTTTTCCAAGCAGGACATAGAGTCAAAGCTGGACAGAGACTCCCGGATTAACAGCTGGTGATAGGAGGAGGAGATCGGTTGACACACTTCGTAATGAGGCGGTGACATAAAATAACCAGGTCAAATAAATAACAAAACCAGGTTTTGATGGCGGACTACACCAGACCCCCCCTCCCCCTCGCCCAGGTGCTCGTTCCCCGGGTTCCCACCCAGCCTGCAGCAACCTTTCCCAAACCTTTAAACCCGAATACGTGGGTGCGGACCACGGACAGTGGCACTCAGTGTGTGTGGACCTGAACCGGAATCTGCACGAGGTCAGAGCCTGTCAGGCGCTACTGCGTCTCCTTTAACGCTGCAGGGACAGCTCTCGGCCCCCTTCCCCAGGGGCGTGCTGGCGCGCGAAGGGGCCTGGGCGGGCGGCTGAGCGTGGGGCCTTAGAACAACCGGAAAGGGGTTCGGAGGCACGGTCGCACTTTATAACTGCGATTGGGGCGACCTCTACAAGCAGTTTTTCGGTCATCAAGTGCCAGGGAAAACTTATCGGTGCCCCAGATCCTCGACCACTGTTCCCGGACCCCTAGGTGGCAGGGCGATCGCGACCGCAGCGCTCCGGGCGTGACCCACCCCTAGCGAAGCTCGCCCCACCCTTATTTCGCCTTCAGCTCCGCCCGGGCGCCCCGAGGGCAAACGGGGGGGGGGTCGGAATTTCCCAGCGCGGAGGCTCTGGCTTCCCCACAATTCTTTCTGTTTACGGAGAGAAAGGGAAATGGAAAAGGCGGGGAGGCGGTGGCTAGTGTACGCGGCGCCGCCACTCGGCGAGCTCAGATGCCGTGAGTCAGGGGCCGACGAGGGTGGCCGGGGCTCGTTAGTCCTCTCGGGTCTGGACGACGCACCACGCTCTGGGGCCAGTCGCCCTGGCTCCAGCCTCTGCCACCGCCGAACTCTGGGGCCTCGGCGCACCCAGCCCCGGGGGGCCGGCCGCCTGCTGCGCACCGAGCTGTCGGGGGGTCGTAGCTGGAGCGCCCCGCCTGCGGGGGCGAACAGAGGCTGCAGGTAACTCAGAGTTCGGGGTTTCCTGGGTTGTCTTTGTGGTCTCAGTCCTCTTGATACCCTAGCGGTTCTCATCCAGAAAGGGAGGGTGTTCCCAGCAGGGGTAGACCCCGGGACTCCGCGAGGAGGGGGCGGCGGCGCTTCCGTCCTCGCGCGGGTTGCGGCTGCCGCCAGCGCAGCTGGAAAGCACCTTGCGCAAGGGTCTCACGCGGGTGGACTCGCGGCTCCGCCCCCTTCCTCCTCCTTCCCGGATCCCTGGCGCGCGAGCATTGCCCGGCTGGGTAGTGAGCGAGGAAGCAGGGGTTCGTGTCACCGCGCCTCCAACCGCATCTCCCACCGCTTATGCCTCCCGACGGCTGCATTCTTCCTGCCGAGAGCCGGTGAGTGCACCTCAGAGGCTGCCATCGCCCAAATGACGGGCGCTTTTATCATTTACAAACCCTTTAAAAGCTCCCTTCGTCGTGAGGAACGGGAGGAAAGGAGTGGGGGTGGGGGGTGGCGGAGCAGAGGGCAGTTTGAAGAGCTGAAACTTAATTTCATGCTTATAACTCAGTCAAGGGAGGGTATAGCAGAACACGAATGCCGGGCTTTTGGTCTAAGAGTATTAGGAGGGAAAAAAGTTATCCCAAATGTTTCTCGGTGGTAGGACTCCGAAATTCTAATTTTGGGCGGAGAACAGTGCTTCTAGTTCTGGGTGGAGTTTATCCCGAAAGTCGACAGGGAAGGCCACGAGGGCTAAGGCATGTTTTGATTCAGAATAAAGGGCGACTACAGATAAGAACAGGCAACGAAACACTAATGCACCTTGCTCTACATATCTGTGGCCTAAATCTCAGGTATTTGCCAAGTAGAAGATAATCTGATTCCAGCAGATGCCCCCAACTCTGATGGATTGAGTTTGTGTGCAATACTTCTGGCAGATGACCCTTCAGGACTTGGTCCTATAAGGAAAATAGGTTGATTGACACATCTAGAAGTTTGGAAGCAGAGTGCCTGTGCTTCTATGTAGCTCAACTGCGTCAATCTGGGGCTTTTGGGGAACAAAAATATAATGAGATGTACCCTAAGTGCCAATGTACTCTTTTGGCAGAAAAGTCTTTTAAATGGGAAGTAATACAGGCATGATCATCCTTTGTTAGGCAGAAGCTGATGCCTGTAATCTTAGTCGTTTTCATTCACACTTACTAGGAAACCCTCAACTTTTGTTTATGTCAATGCAAATAGCTAATAGTATGACATTAATATTTAAGAATGGGGTTTCCTCTTGGCTTTATTGATGATTTCTGAAATAATTTGAAGCAAATAATTTTTACTGTATTTGCTCATCTCTCTATTTCTAAAAGTGGCATAGTCATCTACTTTAAGAAGTGGGAATTTTATGAGGATTTTTATTGTAAACCGTATGGGGAAGGATCTTTATTGCTAAAATAGAATCCTTCACAATCTACACTTTTTCTATTGGTGCTGAATAACTTGGAAATCATTAGCATATTCCCTGTTTAATTTTGGCTTGAAAGTGCTGAGGCTCTTTGCTGGGGTATTTAGTGGGCTAACTAGTCATCAGGTTGCTTGGGGAGCGCTGGTTTGCGTGAGGAGCCCTGTCTTGCTAAGGAATTATGCCTGGCTCTAAACACAGTCTTAGTCATTCGCTCTTCCACCTCTTCTGCCCTCCTTCCCTGCCTCCCTCCCCATCCCTCCTGCTCTGCTCCCATCACGAAGTTTAGGGGGGTGTGCATTTAACCTCTAACTTAGGTTTTACATATAAATATACTTGATACTTTCTGCAGGATTTAAAAACCATAACCTGCCTTTCTTCTGTGGATCAGCTGACTGACTAGTAAACTGTACGGACATTTTCCTCTCTTTCTTGAGTCACATACTATTGGGAACTTCATTTTCTATCAAGTCAGCCATTTGATAAGTAAGTCCAGCAACCTTGGAACTTTGCAGCCAGTGGGGTCCTAAATCAGGTTATTTTTGTTTTAACTTCTGTTTTTTAGTAAATTCTACAAGTAGAAACTGCAACTAAATGGCTTGATGAAACCCAAGTTGAATGTTCCTCCCTTAACCTGAGAAATTCCTTTTATAACTCAACAGACTTCAAGACTGTACAAAATCTCTGAAAAGGAGCTTCTTTTGCTGTCTCAGTGTAACTGTGGTGATAACAACCATCAAAGCATTTCATAGGTTTTTGCCTTTTTTTTTTTGTCTTTTGTTTTAGATAGAATCTTTAAAATCTTACTGTGAAGAAGCTGGGGACTAGGTAGCCACATCCCATTTGCAGATAAGAAAGGAGGTCTAATGCAATATCTGCAAAGCCAGGTGGCTGATTCGGTTCTTGTCTTTTATGCACGTAGTAGCATTTACAAATGACACAGCTTATTTCCTATGCATCAGCCACTGCACCAAGCACCTTGTGCACATCAGCTCCTTTAATCCTCACAGCCAGGTAGGCGCTGTTATGATTCCATTTAACAGATGGGGGAGTTGAGGTCCAGAGAGGCTAAGGTACTAGCCCAAGATCACACAGTCAGTAAAAGAGGGGCCAGTATTTGATCCCAAGCAGTGTGAGTCTAGATGGAATGCCAGACTGCAGGATGCTGCATCGCTTTCCTGAGGCACTATTTGTTGGTGGCAGCGAGAATGGCACCAAGTGTTAGATGGATGGGGACCGTGGTTCAGCAACCTCAGCACTTGAGTTTTGGCTAGGAAAGCATTCAGAGCCAAGAATCAAACTATAAAAGAAAGTTTATTTAGAAAGTCACAGAGGTATAAGAAGTGAGTGGTAGAAGAGATGGGCTCAGGAAACAAGTTACAGAATCAAAAGAAGGGCCCTTTGACCTTAGGAGAAAGAGAGCGGGCAGGAAAATTTGCCTGGGGGAGGGGAAAGGCCCAGGTGTGTTCCTGGGGAGGACAACTCACTGGCTCCTCTGTCCTAGGGGGTTTTAAGGGTGGAGATTTTAGGGGAGGTTCCAGGGGGAAGATTCAATATAATATTCATCAGCTTTCCAAGTGTGTCTTTTCAGGGTCGTGGTCTCCACTGATTGGTAGGCACCAGGGCAGATGGTTATTAGCCAGTGCAGCTGATCCATGTCAGCTTGGTGTCATTTGTTTGGTTTTGCTGCTTTTTGGGGGCCTGGAGCTGAAACGCAGAGGCCTAGATGTGTCTGATGTGGGTTAGAACCCTATTGTCCTAGTGGCTTAATGTTAAGTGCTGTTCTCGGGGGGGGGGGGGGGGGGGGGGGGTGCTTATTTGGTTTCCCTCCAAGGGGGTCTAACCTGTATGACTAGGAACATGCCAGGGAGGGTCCAAACCCAGCAATATGCTAGGGGAGGCAAGGGTGCCCTGGGGGCCAGGTCCTTGTTTTCCCAGTTTTGCCTGTTGCTAGGCACCCAAGGCTCTCCATCCTGGTGACCTTCTGCACCTGGCCTATCATCCTTGCTCTTATCTTGTCTAACTGTCAACTGCAAATTCATATGTCAGAAAATAAATGCCAAGTAAGTTAATGACGACACAAAATTGTGTGCCTCTTCTCTTTTAAACACTTTTAAATGTACTTAATTTTTTAAAATTTTATTAAATTTATCGGGGTGACATTGGTTAATAAAATTATATGGCTTTCAAGTGTGCAATTCTGTAATACATCATCTGTATATTGCGTAGTTCTTTTCTGAAATGAAATTCACTCAGAGGCAAGTAGCTGGGTGGTGAGTTGCCTGTGGGACTTTTTCTGGCACCTCCTACTGGAGCTCCAGGTTAATCGAAGCGCCTTTTTGCTCTGAGTGTCGAGTGTGTTCAAGGCTTGTGCTCTTAAGGACCTGCAACATCTTTCAGAGAGAGACTGTGCTTTCAGGAGCTCAATAGTCTAAGTAGACATACAAGCCTCCAAATTTTTTGGGGCCTCTTATATTTTTCTATCTTTGATTTTTTTGGGAATAGAGTTGTTATAAAATTTTGAGCATTTGTTATCCTTGGTTTTCTTTCTTTTTCTTATTTACAGGTCCCCAGTTGTAGCACCTGATTTTGTATATAAAGAATGAAAAACAATAGTGTCTAATATAGCTGGCCTCACTCGTGTTTTGCTTATGATAAATTTGGCTCTCCTGGCCTCTTTTTAAGACCACGGCTTCTAGAGGGTCATTAATCTAGATGTTAAATTAGCCTGATTGGAACCTTGAGATGTATGCTTTGTACTGTTAAAAAATTCTGGTCTCAAGAGAGGACAGCTGATTCACAGATTAAATGAATCTTCTTCCTCTTTCTTATACTCATTGCTGGCAGAAGGAAGACTTGAGGCTTGTCTCAGCTTCTAAATGAGCTGTTTAAGTCAGTTGCAATCAGCATTATCCCTGAAACTTGACCTATCATCATCAGTTTGCTTAAATTAAAATCCCTCTTACATGCTTCTGGTTTCAGGGCCTGAATTTTATTTGCTAGGTTAGCTCCTAAATTTGGTCAAGTAGTTCTTTTTATTTAAAGGCAACAGAGGCATAAAAGCCCCAGAGACCCAAGCAGGGAGGATATCCCCCTTGGGGGAGTAGCATGGTTGGAAGCTAAAAAGGACTAGGAGCCTTAACTCCTAGGATTCCTGAGCTGCTCTTATTCCTGTTTATGTTTAGTGAAAGTTTGTTTTTAGTAGCTATGGCTGATGCCACCAACTTAGTGAGTAAGTGAATAAGGAATAAGCTTTTGAATCTCAGGTTTCCCCTCTGCAAAGTGAGCGAGCTGTACTAAAGGTTATATAAGGTCCCTTTCTTCAGCTGTCCACTTGAATTTACACACCTATACACACAAAGCCCTCTATTTTTAAACAAAGGCATATAGAAGCCCCATCATTTTACATCAGTTTCCCATTGATTTCAAATGCCAATATAAATATAGTAAACGCAGTATTTACGTTTTCTTTTGCAGACTCTCTGGAAAGTACAACAGTAATGGAGTACATGAGCACAGGAAGTGACAATAAAGAAGAAATTGATTTATTAATTAAACACTTGAATGTGTCTGATGTAATAGACATTATGGAAAATCTTTACGCAAGTGAAGAGCCAGCGGTTTACAAACCCAGTCTGATGACCATGTGTCAAGACAGCAATCAAAATGAGGAGCATTCAGAGTCTCTGCTGCTCAGCGGTCAAGAGATGCCCTGGTTGTCATCAGTCAGATACGGAACCGTGGAGGATTTGCTTGCTTTTGCAAACCATATATCCAATACCGCAAAGCGTTTTTATGGACACCGACGACAAGAATCTGGAATTTTATTAAATATGGTATGTTTTTTCCTGGTCAGTTGAGTGCTGTGTGTTCAACGTTACCCCTGCAGCTTCATTTAATGCAGTGGCATTTGAACTTGAGTTAGACTGGCTGCCAGGTATGAATTTTTATAATGTAGTATCTGTAAGAATCATCTTCATGTTAAAGATGCAAGAAGAGTCTTCATTAAAAGTTTCATTTAAAAAAAATTTAGTAGTAGTTCTACAAATAGGGAACAAACAATTTAACAATTCATTAAAAAAACTAACTCATCAATTAGGCAGAAGCGAAAAACTTAATGAGAATTCATTATTTGAGAGGGGAATAAAGACTTTGTTTTTAATTAAAATTTTTGAAAGCTGAATTTTTTGCTCTTTTCTTGTCACATCTGGAATTTTCACAGTATCAATACTAGCTAAATTCAGTTTTTGCAGAAATGTAGTCTGTAGGCAGTAAATAGCTATCTCAAGATTCACTCTCTTTAATTGGCAAAGTCTGGATGACAAATGACATATTTGCTTAGTCATTCCAAGTATGCAAATAATCCAAAATATTGTGACAACACTTTGTTGCCACAAGAATAGATCAGGTGATGTGTTTAGGTGTTCCTAGGCTTCTCTCAGTCTCTTAGTATGTCAAAGGTGAATGTAGGTGCTGGTTAAAGGTGATCTAATTTTTTAAAAAGAATTTACAAAGGAGTAGGTGGTAACTTGCAAAACATGCTTATGGATGAAAGTGACTCCTGTGCCTTTGGTACATCCATATGGCAAAATGGCTCATGTGGGGAGGAGTTCAGTGCTGAATAGTGAATAGTCTGGAAAAGTACTTAATTATTTTGTTTTTATTGCATACTGCATTCATTCAGTTAAAAACAACACAGTAATTTAGGTCAGCTATGTAGTGAATTGTTTTGTTAGAAGCTAGTTGTGTTCATTTGTAGCTCAGTTTGGAGGAAGATTACATTTTGCATAGTTGTGACTTACTTTGGTCTGGTATTCCAAATTATATTTAATAGTTAACAAAGTACTTTACCTAGAATATTGCTCTTGCTAATCATTGAACTAGAAGCAATACCTGATTTTCTTAGCTGAAATTCAGCTGGAGAACTCTGGTTCAAAATGATATATATATGTCTATAGTGAGAAACATAATTGTTTGTGTATTTCTCTTTTTTTACACTTATTTGTCAAAATGGACATTTTAAAGGAAAACATGAAGAATAAACAAATTACTCTTGTAAGTATGTAGAGGCTTAGATACATTTCCCCTAGTCCATCAGACTGGTGAGAGACAGGACATAGACCTTCACTCGGAATGTACAGAAAGGAATTCAGGAAATCTATAAGGAGCACAAAGAAATAGCTTCTTAAAGGTTTTAGAGTTAAAAAACAAAAAACAAAACAAAAACAGAAGAAGAAGAAGCTAATTCAGAAAAGGAGAAATTAAGACATTTAAAGGTAATGAAAATTTTAGATCAACTAAGGGTAAGAGTAAAATGTAAGTTCCTGCCATTGACCCTGTGCTCTGTAAATGAACAAATCTATATTTAGAGAAAATTTAAGAATAAGATGTATCATAAGGCAGGGATCTTAAAAAATTTAAAAAGATTTTTATTTTAAAAATTATCAAGAATATAAAATATAAAACAAGGAGACTTAAAAACAAAACAGAGTAACAGGAGAACCCTAAAATACACAGGAAAATTAGCCCAGTGGTAGATGGCTCTGGGGCCCTGGTTGACTTTCCTGTCACTGCCGTAGGATCAGATAATCCCTGTGACTGCTATAACCTACTGCAGCTCTGTGTTTCCTGGATAATGGCATAGGAATCATGACTTTCCATCTCTGATCACAGCTAGTCTGAGAAGAGATGATACAGGAGGCGAGGTTTACTTTTAGCTCCCTTCATCCTCACATCGTGGTCTCCTTGGAACCATCTTGTGCTCAAGACCTTTCTCTTCCCATGGTCTTCCCCCTAATACCCTGGCAAAACCTTTCTCTTTTGGGCTTCATCTGCTGCTCTGTCTCTCTGCGTTACAAAACGACAGCTAATTATTTACCAAACAGATAGGTTCATGGTAAATCTATAAGTGTACCTACCTATGGACCAAATGCTTTCATTTATGTGAATGCTAGACATAGCTGGAACATCCACAGTGTATTAGGTGCTTTTCTAGTTGCTGGAGATCCAGTGGTGAGCTGTGCTTTTTGGTAGCTTACTGTCTTGTGATTGCAAGAGGCAAGTAAACAGGCAATTATAATGCGGTATAGTACTTGCCAATACAACTACACCATGATTGCTGTGGGGATGGTCAGGCAGAGTACCTCACGCAGCCATGAGGCAGGATAGGGCGGCCAGCAGATTGTCAGAAAGGCTTTCAAGGGGAATTGATGCCTAAGTTATTGAGTTAGCGTCCACCAAATGAAGGGGATGGGGAGCCGAGAGTGTTCCTGAGAAGAGAATAGCATGTGCAAAGGCCAGGAAGCATAGAGACATGATGTGTTCCAGGCAGCCAACCAACACAATGTCTGTGGAGTTAATTAGTTAATTAAGGTGGAGGAACAGGAATTACAACAATACCCTGAAGCACAGGCATGTTAAATGGTGGTTTGCAGGTGTGTGTTCTTTTCCTAAAAATATTTCATAAAGATTTCACCAACTTCCAGCAGGACTAGGGAAGAAACTTTAGGAGACTATTGTAGGGGTTGCTTTGTATAAGAGTGCTACGTTATTCATAACCTACACCAATTCATAACCTGATCTGGGATAAAGAGCCTAAAATCTGTTCCAAATACTTCAGTCTGGTGATGGGGAGCTGAAGGGCCTAAAGGGCGTGTTTCCAGATGTGGTGTGAGATGCTGCATGCTGTTCCTCAGGCATAGTCATGGGGTCCCAGCTTCTCAGGGCTGGAAAAACCTTAAAGATACTGAGTCAGACCCTCCTCTGTCTGATGTTTGTGCCACCCCATTCATCATCTCTAATAATTGCTGGAACATTTTAGTCTAAGCTTGATAATCTCCTGTGATGAAGAGTTGACCATGTAGTGGGGCATTTAATTTCACATTTGGTCAATTCTGATTGTAAAAGAGTCCTTCTTTCAATAAAACTAAAATACATCTCTGACTCTTATTAGTTCTATTTCTATTCTTTGGTCAGCAAAAGGTATATGTGGAGAGTAGTGGTGAAGACTGCAGACCTATGAATTAAAATGCTTTCACATACCCTGGTCAATTTGGCTCAGTGGTTAAAATGTCAGTCTTTGGACCAAAGGGTCATGGGTTTGATTCCCAGTCAAGGGCATGTACCTGGGTCTCAGGTTTGATCCCCAGTCCTGGTCGAGGTCATGTGGCAGGCAACCAATCGATGTGTCTCTCTCCCTCCCTCCTTTCTACTCTGTCTAGGAAAAAAAACCAGTGGAAAATAAATAAATAAAATGCTTGCATATGTATCTCAGCTTTTAAATGGATTAGCTATGTGACCTTGGGCTACTTATCACACTCCCTGTGCCTCAGTTTACTCATCTGTAAAGTGAGTAATGTGACAGCCCATAGAGTTGTTGTTAGAACAAATGATGAAGGCACGTGACCTGTTTACCTATAGTGAGTGTTGAAAGAATGCAAGCCATTGTGGTAGTTGTATATAATTGTTACTCTCCTTCCTTGTGACAGTTCTGTCAATATTTTAAGAATTGCAGGTTCCCCACATCTTCTCTCCTCTTTCACAAACATGTCTCATTGTGTCTTCTACTTCTCATGTATTGTAATGTCAGCTTCCATCATCAGCTGGGTAGCGCCCTCTGAACTCAAGCCTGTCATGTAGCCCGGAGCACAGACGTGCCAAGCTATCTGTGCTGTAACCAGCAGAGTGAGACAGGGCCAGTTGTGCCTCTGTTCTGGAGAATATTCTGTTTTAATGTGGCCCAAGGTCGCATCCATTTCATAGCAGCCGTATCACATAGGTTCCTCTTGAAATTTATTTTCCCTGAAATACCTAAGGATTTTCTGAAGTGCTGCCCCTGGCTCAGTATTATTCAACATCTATGACGGTGATCTGGATGAGGAAATCACAAGCTTATAATGTCTGCACTTGAAGAAGGCTTTGATCAGTTGAAGAATTGGCAAAGATAAGCAGCACAGAGATCCACAAGATCATTTGACAGAACCCCTGGAGAGAAGAAGGGGGTAAAAACATTTCAAACCCAAATGGGGAAGGTCTAGGGCAAGGGGAAAAACCAGGAGCTGTGCAGAACTGCAAAGGGGTCAGCACTTGCTTATCACCTTGAATATTAAAGGCGACCTTGGAGAACTTGAGGGACATTGAGAGGAATGTGGGAGATTGTGAAATGGGGGTGAAGGCACTTTTAGGATTTGATCCAAAGAGAATAAGGTGTGCTCAGTGACATAAACATAGGCTTTTAATAACTGGGTTTTGGTCATGGCTCAGCTTTAATTATAGCTTCATGGAAGATAAAAGGTTCTTATCCAAAGAACAAGAGTGGTGGCTTTGAAACCAGACAGCCCTGAGTTTGAATCCTGACTCTGTCACTGACTAGCAAGTTACTTAACCTCTGAAGCCAGTTTTCTCATCTTTAAAATGGACATAAAAATAGTACTTACCTCATAGGACTGTTGTGAGACTTCTGATGAGATAATGTGTAAAGTACTGAGCACAGTGCTTGGCCGATAATTAACACTCAATAGATGGCTGCTATTATTATTCTTTGTCCTCTTGGATTGAGTAAGAGGACGCTGGGTCAAATTATATTGAAACAAATTTTGGTTAAACAAAAGTAAAGCTTTCCTGAAAGTGAGTTAAACACTAAAGTGGATGACAGAGGCCACGGTGAAATTGGATCTGTAAATATTTAATAATAAGAAAGGCAATATTCAAGTACAGTTGAATGTGGTGAGCATGGTTCTGTCTAAATGTGGAAGGGGACTAGATTGATCACGTTCTTTGCTGTAAAAAGAGGCCTCCGGTAACTTGAGGTGACACACTTCTTGAAAGGAGGTCATATTTCAAACAAGCCACGCCTGTGGTCTGTCCTTAGTCATTTTCCCTCTAGAGCTCTGCACAGGATCCCACACAGAGGTTGTGTTCAGTAAATATTTAATTTTTCAATTTACGGACTTCACATTTCTAAGTATTAGAGTTGTTAGGTTTCATTCCCTAATAGTGAGCACATGTGTTTGTGGAGTGTGTGGCTAAGATCAGCACTAGTGGAGACAGAGTGAATAACCTCATGGTTACTAGAACCGTTCCCGGAGCAGAGGCCTGTGAGGGGCCCCTGTGTCTGCACATGAACCAGGTGTTCACTCTTTCCCCACGTGTTCTGCAGTCCCCTGTACTTGAAATAACTTGATGCTGCTTTATTTTATTTATTTATTTATTTATTTATTTATTTATTTATACTATTTTATTTATTGATTTTAGAGAAAGAGGAAGGGAGAGGGAGAGAGAAACAGAGACATCGATGAGAGAGAACATCGATTGGCCGCCTCCTGCATGCCCCCCACTGGGGATTTGGCCCACAACCTGGCCATGTGCCCTGACCAGGAATCGAACCAGCGACCTCTTGGTGCATGGGTCGACGCTCAACCACTGAGCCACACTGGCTGGGCTGATGTTGCTTTAATAGTTTCATAATTTCTGAGTTTATAATCTGAAGTCATATTATTACTAATTATACTGAGGAAAAACGTGTATTTTTGAGATACTTTATTCCTTGGAAGAATACTTAAACATGTTTTAGGCCTTACTCACGGTCATATCTCCTGTGGACTACGTTATTTATTTGTTTTAATTTTAATTACTTCTCTTTTTAGTTGTTGACTCTTTAAAGATTGAGATAGACTTTATTTGTAGTAAAATACACACATCTTAAATGTGCATGCAGTTTGATGAGTTTAGACGAATGCACGCACTTGTAACTTGCACTGTTGTCAGAATACATCCCTTAATTTTTGAGTGGACTGGTTTTGAAATCTCTTGTTCTGAGGGCTTGCTCATAAACTCTTAGAGGTCAGGGGTCATCTATCTGTTATGTATAGCAGCTTTCTCAGCACCAAACACAGTGCCTGACACATATTATGCACTCAATAAATATTAAATGAGTAAGTAGATGAGAAACAATTCCGCCCTTACTTTATTTAGGTAGCACTGTCAACTCATAGCTCTGGCATAACACATTGTTTTTCAAAATCCTTCCATGATCATCAGTTTATTTCTACACTCTCTCTTTATGCATCATGTATGGGTAAGAGCTATGTGGACTAACAGGTTAGCACATTTTAATTGGAAGCAAGTCAACTGGCAGGCACAGTTTATATATGTGCAATCTTTATTTTCAACCTCTTGGTCACAGTAGTCATGCTCCCTTAGATAAATCATTTTTAAAGTTCTATTTGGCAATTAATGACTCCCAAGTAGATGGAAATCGGATCAGGTCTGACCAGGGATGGACGTGTTTCTGTTACAAGCTTTCTCTGTCTTGCTGAAACTCTAAATATAGTCTCTGTACACTGTTATGATTACACACTGTGACACTGCGTGTAGGAATGCAATTAAAGGGCCGGTCTTAGAAAAGGATTTTGCTGGATTCTCACCCTCCCACAATTTTATTTGTTGTAGGTAATCACTCCCGAAAATGGACGCTATCAAATAGACTCTGACGTGCTCCTCATTCCCTGGAAGCTGACTTATAGGAATATTGGCTCCGATTTTATTCCTCGGGGGGCCTTTGGAAAAGTGTACTTGGCACAAGATATAAAAACTAAGAAAAGAATGGCGTGTAAACTGGTATGTACTTTATAACCAGACAACATGAACTGCATTGCATTACTCAAAACTTGTTAGCCTCTGTCTAGGCTGCCCTGTCCAAAAACATCTATATTTTATGGATTTGCTTGCTACCTGGGCCATTCAGCCCCTAAATCTGCCTAAGTGCTTAGTTGATTTTAATCCAGCTTACCATGATAAGAAAAGAAAGTGCTGGCTAATTTAGCACCAGTTTGGATAACATCAGCTCTCCCGCAGGAGCAAATCCTTGCGCTGCTCCATTACTCCCACCCACTGGGGAGGGGGTGCCAGGCAGGAAAGCAGAAGCTGAGAAAGCTGCAGGTCTTGCCAGGACTGCAGATTAAAGGGCTGAACTTCAATAGACCAATTCTTGAAAAGATACTATCTCTTCTTATTAACCAATCATTGGTGAGGTGCCCCCACTTTGGAAGAGTGTATGGCAGTCTCTACCTAAGCTGAACGTGCACAAGCCTGATGACCCAGAAATTCCACTCTGTTGGTACACACCCTGTAGGCATGTGCACATGGTCACTGAAAGCTATGCACTAGAGTGTTCATGGCAGCATTATTTGTAATAGTCTCAAACTGAAAAGTTTCCAGATGCTGAAATGTGGTATATTGACACAATGGAATTCTGAATAACCAAAACAATAAATGATTTACAATGATAATAATGTAGATGAATCTCATAGTCATTATGTTGAACTAAAACAGCCAGACACAAAATAAGATCTACAGTATGAGATTCTACTTACATAAAGGCCAAAAATAGGCTGCCCAAATCCATGCTGTTGGAAGTCACATTAGTGGGTGCCCCTCAGGAGCAGTGTCTGGAAGGGGTCCGGAGGGCTCTCAGGGTACTGGTGGAGTTCTGTTTCTTCATCTAGATGATGGTCACATGGGTGTGTTCACTAATAATACATTGAGTTGGATACTTAACTAGTTTTACACTTTTATATATGTTTTATTTTAAAACATTTTTAAGTGCAAAATATCAAACAAACTCACTTGATTTAACAAAAATAAAATTAAAAATTGCTAAATATCATCTTAATCTCTGTTATCGTAATTAAAAGATTGATAATATGTTGGTTTCATTTGTTTTTCATAAAGATTTGGTATAATATCTAGTATTAGAAGAAAAAAGATAGGTATCATAATAACCATAAAAACCATATATAAAATTTGGTTTTTAAGCAAAAGAAAAGCACATAAGATGATTAACAACCTCAAAAATATTCAAAAGAGGGTAGGCTGAAGAGTGAGATCCTTTTCCTTGAGGGAACTACTGTTAATGGGATATGTACCCTTCCAGAAAGTCTCTGTGGGTATATGTATGTATAGTTAAAATTTTTTTTGAAAATGTGAACATAATATATGTACTTCTGCATCTTGCTTTTTTAAAAATTTATCTAACACTATATCTTAGAGACATTTCATATCTATCTGTACTGAAAGATTTACTTCTTTCTTTATTAATGACTTTTGATTTCCTATAGAATGATGTCCAGTGCTTATTTTAAATGCATTGTTAGAGCATGAGATGTGGGACCAAAGACATATTATTATTTCATGACAAGAAATATTGAAAATATGACCTAAAACCTAAGTGCTATAGAAATTACATATATAATAGCTAATACTTTATCTCTCTTTTGATTCCATCATAAATGGTTCTTTGGATTTCTATACTCTAAATGAAAATAATAATTTATACATTCTTTTAAAAAAAATTTTTATTTTCTTATTTTGAATTGTTTACCTAAAGCTGACATAATGTAAAGGCAGATCTCAAGTTAACATTCTTTTAACTAAGCAGTACACTTTTATACAAATCAGGGTATCCTTGAAGGCACTGATTTATCTTCTGGTTTGTGGGTTGACCTAGATCACACTCATTCCTTGGTATCTGAGGGGGATTGGTTCCAGGAAACCCCAAAGATACCAAAATCTTCAGATGCTCATGTCCTTTAGTTGGCCCTCTGTATCCATGGGTGTGGAAACTGCAGATACAGAGGGCCAACTTTATATATATATATATATATATATATATATATATATATATATATATACACACAATTTTTTTTTCTCTATTGATTTTAGAGAGAGGAAGTGAAAGGGAGAGAGAGATAGAAACATCGATGAGAGAGAATATTGATTGGCCGCCTCCTGCATACTATATATATTTTTTATTGTCCTGGTATCTTACTGGTATTTTTGTGTTTCAGATCCCAGTAGATCAGTTTAAGCCATCTGATGTGGAAATCCAGGCTTGCTTCCGGCATGAGAACATCGCTGAGTTATATGGTGCAGTCCTATGGGATGAAACTGTCCATCTCTTTATGGAAGCAGGCGAGGGAGGGTCTGTTCTGGAAAAACTGGAGAGCTGTGGACCAATGAGAGAATTTGAAATTATTTGGGTGACAAAGCATGTTCTCAAGGGACTTGATTTTCTACACTCAAAGAAAGTGATTCACCATGATATTAAACGTGAGTTATCTTTGGATATGTACCTTTTTGGCTTAAAGAGACTAGTTAGACAAATTCCTTCAATCTAAAGATTCTTAGTGGCAGGGAGCACAGCTCCCATGGAGCACCTTGCACTTCCCTCCACTCTGCTTCTGAAACACCTTCTGGAATCCAGAGGGGTCACTAGAACTTTCAGCGCCATAAGGAAGGGTGACTATCCAATTGTGGAAAAGACCAGAGTCACACATCTATTAAGTACTGCCTCTGCCCTTATGGCTTTTAAAATACTAATTTACTTAAAAACACATACATATAGCCACATCTTGTTGAGAAACAAATAGCTTTTACATTTTGAACATAAATTTGGCAGTAGTTCATTTGACAAGCCTTCACTGAGTGCTTTCTAGGAGTAAGATGAGGAAATATGTAAGAGAGATCCACTATGGACCCTAGTACCCGATGATCAGTAGGACTAGCAAGACTTACTAAAACAAAACAAAACAAAACAAAACAAAACAAAATGGGTATTTTATTTTATTTTTTTAGAAAATGGCCTGATAATATTATGCTTATATCACAGAAGTTGAAACTCAAGCTCCTGAGCATTATTGTGGTTTTTTTTTTCTAGCTTTGTTGAGATATAATTGATATATAGCATTGTGTAAATTTAAGGTGTTTAATGTAATGATTTGATATATGGGTATATTGCAAAATGATTGCTGTAATTAGGTTAGTTAACACATTCATCACCTCACATAGTTAAAATTTTTTTGGTGGTGAGAACTTTTCAAATCTACTGTTTTAGCAACTTGTCAATACACAGTACGCTATTGTTAAGTGTAGTCACAATGTTGTCTATGTTTAATTCCCAGAAATTATTCATCTCATACCTGAAGTTTTTACTCTTTGACCACATTCACCCATTTCCCCTACCCACTGGCTCTGTAACCACCAGTCTGTTCTGTTTCTGTGAATTCGTTTTTTTAGACTCCACAAATCTGAGTGAGATCATACAGTATTTGCCTATCTCTGTCTGACGTATTTCACTTAGCATAATGCCCTCAAGGCCTGTCCAGGTTGTCACAGATGGCAAAGTGTCCTTCTTTTTTTGTCTGAGTAATATTGAATTACACACACACACACATATACACATACTGGGTATCACTATTCTTTGTCCATCAATGGACATTTAAGTTGTTTCTATGTTTTAACTGTTGTATCTTGAACATTGTTAGTGGCTACAATCATTTATGTCCCCATTGGCTGAATTCTTGACAGATCTGAAGTGATTTTTACCTACACTCTCAGCCTCCTCTTTTGAGTATATTACACACATTTCAGTAGGGAAAGCATTTGAATCTATTCTAATTTGACTTGTTTTTTTGGATGTTTTCATTTTATTTACTAAAAATGTTCCTCTCTTTATAGCAAGCAACATTGTTTTCATGTCTACAAAAGCCGTTTTGGTAGATTTTGGCCTAAGTGTCCAAATGACTGAAGACATCTATTTTCCTAAGGACCTCCGTGGAACAGAGGTATAATTATATTCCCACAAGAATGGTTGATATCTTATTAATAGTAAAAATATAAAATGTTCTAGCACTACTGCACAAAGGACAAAGAAGGGGAGAAAGCCATTGCATTAAATTTTTATTATCATTGGAACATATTTAATGAGTACTATAAAAATTATATTTTTTAATCCTCACAATAATCCTATTATTGGTAAACACTATTATTATAAGCAAGTACTGTTATGATTCCCATCTTACAATAGGAAAAAAGATTGAAGAGCTTAAAAATAAAATACCCCAAGATTCTCAGTGAGTTAGAGATCTGGGACTTGAACCCAGTATTTTCTGAGTCTAGTCTAAGATCTAACCACTGTGTAATTTTTTAATATAACTAACATATATATATTCTTAGTTTAACTAATATTACTGTTTTGATTAATTTATAGCCAACATTTTTATGGTCATTAATAGTATTTATTGAGAAGTGACAACATTTTAGCCTATCTTTAATCCTAGGGATCCTATAATAAACCTTAGTTTATCATAGCATAAATAAATCTTATTGAAGATATGAACTAGTTATAATACTTGTTTTTGAATAAAAATAAAGAAAGAAACAAAACTTTTCTGTATCTAAATGAGAATCAGAGAAATGCATTCACACATGGGCTTTCAAATAATATATTTAATTTAACATTCACATGATTAAGCTGAATAGTTGATTCATATATTGAGTTTCTGTTGAGCAGTTGCTATATGGCAGTCTGTCAGAACACTGGACAAGGTCAGTAAGGATCATGCCCTTGGTTGTATTTCAGCAGTCCTCACTTTTTGGTGAAAGGAGCTATGTTAAATTTACCTGAATTATTAACAGATCAACAAGTTAGTTCACGGTTGATTATGATGGAAAATGGGGAATAAAATTGGGAAGGTAAATGGGTGTAGTGGCTCTCGTGCATGTCCAGTATGATGGGGCTTTACCCACCTCCCAGCCCCATGCCCTTCTCTCCACTGGAAGTGCCCCCAGAAAATAGAGGGCACTCGGCTGCATCTTTGCCTCAAGATTACCTGGTCAGTCGGTTCTTTTCTTTGTTAATCCTTACCCGAGGATATTTTTCCATTTATTTTTAGAGGGAGTGGGAGGAAACATCGATGTGAGAGAGACCCTGATCAGGGCCGGGGATCAGACTTGCAACCCTGGCATATGCCCTTGACCGGAATCAAATCTATGACCCTTTGGTCTGCAGGCCGATTCTCTAACCACTGAGAAAACCGGCCAGGCCTACCAGGTCAGTCTTAGTGTTCAGTCAAATAACAACCCTTAGTCTAGCTGGTAGATATATTGATCGTATTGAAAAAAAAAAAAATTCAAGACAAGATTTTGTAAGCCTTCTCTTAACTCTCAGAGCAAAGACTCTCCTGGGCAGCAGAAGAAATCTTTGTTTTTGTTGATATTACTGAAGTTATTCTGGAAAATATTTGAGAGAGGATTCTTGATACTCATCTTTGAGCAGAATAATATTCAGAAGAGAAAACTTTAGACTTTTTTTTTTTAATGCGTTAGTCTTGGATCTTAAGAATGCATAATTAAAGCACAAAATCTAAGACTTAATGCTTATGACATGTTTATTTTGGGAAAATGTTCAGCATATTTTGGCATTAGTCAGAAGTTTAGATATGTGACAGTGTACCGTTTTTCCTGGAGCCAGCTTGAGAAACAAACTATTTATGGTATTAAAGATGGAAAATACCTTTTTTTTCCTGGCAGTGTGAACATTTTGCAATGTCTGGAGGAAGACATGCCCTTTCTGGGATTCTCTAGCAGAAAAAGAATGTGAGCCTGAGTATGAGATAATAACATAGTGCCTACTTCTGAATAGTATACAGATTAAGTTATTTTCACCAAATGTGAATTGCATTTTATGAATTATTAACTGGCTTAGGTGTTTAATGTTTATAGTTATAAACTCTCTTCCAGTCAACCTACATTTTTACTATCTGTACTCAGGAACTGACATTTGATAATGAGCAAGGTTGTGAAGTCACCAGTAAAATCTTTCAGCAAGCTTATATTTACTACTCGTACTGAAAGAGCCAGTAAGGTGTAGTGAGTCAGAGTCAACCATGCAGATTTGCTTTCCATTAGAGCTGGTTCACTCGGCTACTTCATAGCTGTGCATGATTTCTGATCCCTGCATATATGCAGATGGGCCCCGCACCCTGGGTGAAGCGCTGCCCCTCTCTCCTACCTGCACATCGCTCGTCAGTGCAGACACTGGTCACCTGTGCTTGATCTCTTTCTCTCCGCATTTACATTCAGAACAATATACTGTAATCACATAGTGTATATAGGGGTCGGCAAAAGCAGCTTTATAGTTGTGAGTACATGAAACACAGAGTTTATTCTTGTAGTATTATTTATGAATTATTGTATTATTTATTTGTATTACAACTGTAAACTTACTTTTGCCCACCCCTGTATACAGGGTTAATCTGATATATATTCGATTTATTGTTTTTTAATTATATGGTACAGAGAAAGAGTAAGTAATTAATGTGAATAGCTAATTGGGATCGCTTTTATAGCATGATCCTTTAAAAAATGTTTTTCTTTATTGATTTTAGAGAGAGAGGGAGAGAGAGATAGAAACATCAATGAGAGAGAACATTGACTGGCTGCCTCCTGCATGCCCCCCCCCCGGCCAATCAGGCCCACAACCTGGGCACGTGCCCTGACCGGGAATCGAACCCGTGACCTCTTGGTGCATGGGTCAACACTCAACCACTGTGCCACACTGGCTGGGCTATACCATGGTCCTTTTTAAAAAGTTTTTATTCTCTTCTGATTTGGTGTTTAGTTTTTATGTAAGTTAACATGTAATCATCACATGTGCGGGGACACATACACACACACACACACAGTCTCTTCCCCTTTCTAATAAACATGCTGAGAGATGAGTGCCTTGACTCCTGATGGGTCCCCTTATGCTCGTGCCCGTGCCTGAGGGCAAGCCACTCTCAGAGAGCCTCACCCTGGACCCACCGGCCGTGTTTCATGTCTTCAGTCAGCCAGCCTGCAAAGTCTTTGAACAACATTCCCTGCTGCCCTGGCTCTTGCAGAACTTGAGGAAGCTGGAGCTCTGAGCCGTTGAACCATGCAGCTCTGGGCGATCTGCCCGAGGGGCAGCAGCCAGGTCACCAGCTGGGCAGGACACTGCTGTCCCAAATGTGTAGTCACAGAGCCTGCAGAGCCCTGTTGCACAGCTGCTGTTGGTTCCACCAACAGTAAACATGTTTTGCCTAATCCTTCTATTAGGGGGAGGAGGTGGGCCCCGCTACTGACAGTTAATTCTCCCCACTGCATTGATTGTAAAACTTGGTGATTATATTTAGTAAGAAAGTCTATCAGGATCTGTCTTTGCTTCAGGGGAAGTTTGAGAACAGGAGTTTGGTTGGTCAGTTTGCTAAGAGAGAAGAACCAGCTAGCCCAGAGTTGTGTTGTAGGAAGAAGCTGGGTGGGGTGTGGATGGGGAAACTGGGCAATTTCCCCTGTTTTTACAAGCCAGTTCTTTACTTATTTACTCTGAAATGTATTCTGGGAACAATTGCCCCCTTCTCAATATTCAAATTAACAGACAGTGTAGAAATACCTTCAAGGGAAATACTATTAATTAGAATATGCCTGGACCAGCCATAAATCCAGATCACTGAGCACTGGTGTTCATTCTTGTTTTCTCTACCTTTTGAGGTTTAGAAACAAGCACTTCTTAGAGAAACTATTTCTAACCCTAGACTGACTTTTCCAGCAGCGACTCATGAAACCAAATTGAACTTCCACAATGCTAACATGGCAGTCACTGGGCTGCAGGGGAGACAGAAATGGGAAGTAGTTCACAGAAATGACTGATCAGGATCACTTTTACAATACTGACATTTTAAAGTTCTTCTCTTCCAAGTGATCAGTGTTAGTTAATACCATGTGGACTTCTGCCAGCTTTTATTCATGAATTTAGTGACGAACAGGAGGTAAAGAAGGGTACTTGTAGTGTCCATTTCGATGTGAAAGGAACTGGTGCTTTAGCGGCTGCATGCGTCAGTGCTTTGCAGCTTCGACGAGCAGCGGTCCCAGGTGGCTCTCTGTTACTCTCCTGAGCACTGCAAAGGTGCTCTCCTGAACGGAAGAAGCGTGCAACAAATATGGTACGAGGGGATGAGAGAACCGGATCAGGGAAATGGAAACCCAGAGAAGTGAGGGAAGTGAGACTGATGTTTCCTGCTCTTCTTTTTCAGATTTACATGAGCCCAGAGGTGATCCTGTGCAGGGGCCATTCAACCAAAGCAGACATCTACAGCCTGGGGGCCACACTCATCCACATGCAGACGGGCACCCCACCCTGGGTGAAGCGCTACCCTCGCTCAGCCTACCCCTCCTACCTGTACATAGTAAGTGGGGGTCAGCCAGGGCTGAGCGGGCGGGCGTCCACTGCTCAGGAAAGCCGCTTCCTTCCTGAGAGATGGTGGTAAACTAGTGACCCACGAGAGGCAGCTGGAAGTTCTTCCCACAGGGAGGAAGCCCCAGTCTCATAAAGAAGGCATTGCTATTTTAGTGGGAACTTAACTAAAATGTATGTTGAGGCATTAGTTATATGCTATTGTCTTAAACATGTAATGATAAGATGCCACTTAGTAGTTTCAGAGTAGCATAAATCTTTGAGCCAAAGCAGTTATATATGTTCTTTGAACACTTTAAAAAGAAAAGGTATTAGATTATAGATCCCCACACCAACTTGGCATATAGTGAAAAATGCAACTCTCATTTTATGGGGAGAGATTGAGGAGCAGATACTTCCCCATTACGAGGTGGTGTCCTTGGACCACTGTTGAGATATATAGCTGTCACTGTTTATTCAAACCTAGCGTGTATCTTTGCACTGAGCCAAAAGATGGGTTTAATTCAGTGTCCTTAGGAAATTAGAAGGCAACTTGTTTCAGGGTATGAACTGTATTTTCTGCAGGGCATGAGGTGGGAAACCAGTGACTTTCTAGGTCATGTTACTAGAATACTTTCCCTGTTGAGGGGATATTTTCATATGTTGATGCTAAGAGGGCTGTTTTGTTGACAGATCCACAAGCAGGCCCCTCCTTTAGAGGATATTGCGGATGACTGCAGTCCCGGCATGAGAGAGCTGATAGAGGCGGCCCTGGAGAGGAACCCCAATCACCGGCCCAGGGCAGCAGACCTACTAAAACACGAGGCCCTGAACCCCCCCAGAGAGGACCAGCCACGCTGTCAGAGTCTGGACTCTGCCCTCTTTGAGCGGAAGAGGCTGCAGAGTAGGAAGGAGCTGGAACTTCCTGAGAACATTGCAGGTACGGACACGCTGCTGTGTGCACTGCCTATGGCTCCCCTCCTGTTTCTGTCTGTGTCACACCACTGACGGAACTGCTGAGACCACTTGAAAAAAAAAGAGTGATTTCTTGAGTGCCACAAGGTTTTTGAGAAATCTGAGGAAGAATGTTAGCAAAAGCATTAAATAAGATAACTATTTTACCAGCAAGTTATAACAGGTTTTTAGTGCAAATGTAGGCAACACAGTCATTGAGAATTGCCTCTGACTTGCTTTTTTGCAACAGAGAATATCATATGTTTTTAAAAGCAAATCGAACATGCCAGTTTTGCTGCTGATAAAGAGCGGGGTTCTTCTGTTAATTCAGTTATGGTGAGCCCCGCCAGTCCTTGCTTGGAAACCTCATGGCACTGCTCTGCCCAGACAAAACATTGAGTTTAAAGTCAGTGTGCATTTCTGTCTCCCTTTGCTTAAAGTCTCTCTGCCAGTTACGAATCTTTCCCATTTAGGAAAATCAGTACATATTTGAACAGCATTGAATATGTGTGGAGAGGGGTTTCTATTTTTGCTGTTAAAATCTGTGGCATTCCTAATCGTTTTAGGTCCAAACCCAGATGTCAGGCCTGGCATGCTTGTTTGCATTTCTGTGCTTCTTGTCTGACTTTTCCTTATTTAAAGAGAACCATCTGGGATGTTGGAAATGTGCTAGGATTTCTAGCTAATTTGACTCTTTTTTGAACTCTTTTTTGAACTCCTCTGTGTATGACATAGGACACAAATTAGCACATGGTGTTCAACTCTGTAGCTCTTCAGTAAAACCAGGGCTTGAATGCTGTTTCACTAGGTCCAATCTATTTTTTTTTTTTTTTTCAGAAAGAACAGGTATTTATTATTGAACATGTTTCCTGGTCATTTATTTTATTTTTTCAATATTTCTCTTTTCAGATTCTTCATGCACAGGAAGCACTGAAGAATCTGAGATGCTAAAGAGACAACGTTCTCTCTACATAGACCTTGGAGCCCTGGCTGGCTATTTCAACCTTGTCCGTGGTCCACCAACATTAGAGTATGGCTGATGGTCGTTTGTTCTAAATAAGACAGTTTTTTATCTCCTGGAAGCTAGTTCTGCCGACTCTACCCAGGGGCTCTGTCTACTGAATTGTGCCGTTTATTAGCAGGCAGTGCTGGCTCCCATGACTCATGAATGTGTCTCCACATGGCTCCTGTGTGTTTGATTTGTGGAGCTGCCCTGGTACCCACCAGGTCTAAAGCTCCTTGTTTCTCAGATGGTGTGACTCAAGGGGAAGAATTAAGTGTTCCTAGAAGGATCATTTCTGGTGACTGATTTCGTGTACTGTGCACTTTGATCAAAATTTTAAAAATACCAATTACGAGAATAATATATCAGCCTGAAATTACTATTCTTGGTTCTAACCTAAGTATGGGAACTTTACTTAACTCAGAATAGTCATTTTGTATATACTAGTGTATATTATGCACTAACTCCTTGAGCCGTTGTTGGAATATTCTAGGTTAAATTAAAGTCATTATATTTTGGGTGAATAAAATAACTTGAATATTATAGCAATAAGCTGAACTAGTGTCTTGAAAATGGCTGATTGGTGAGGAGCCACCTGACATCAGGCCACTAGTGATGGGTTCTGTTATGTTCCTATGGAAACGTTTTATACTGTACATGCTTAAAACATTTAAAACATGATGTTTTGAATGTGGATAAAACTGTGTAAACCACATAATTTCTGTACATCCCAAAGGATGAGAATGTGACCTTTATGAAAACTGGAAACTTGTCCTTTCTTAATGATGCTACTTTTGTAACTCCTGTGACTCTATTTTCTTTTAAGCATCTGTATATTAAAATAGCATACTATGTATGTTTTATATCAAATGCCTTCATGAGTCTTTCTTATACATTTTTTTTAACATTGTAAAGTATGTGACTATATTTACTTAAAGTATGTTTTTACATCATGCAAATGAAACCAATACTGTTATCCAATATGATTAGTCAAATCAACTGAATAAATTCAATATTTTGCCTAATTATTGTGAAAGGTGTGATTCTAACCCGGGACTGGAGGTGGGCTCAAGGAGTTGGGATATAGGTTGGAGAACATGTATCATGAGGAGGCAAAAAAATACTTGAGAGCTTTGCAAATTGTATGTACGTTCCTCTTCTATTGCTGCGGTATCAAGCTGTTGTCATCTAGTTTGGGTTGCATCCCTTCGGTACATGGAGGCAAAATAATTGTGAGCCACTGCTTCAGGCTAATGGTTCTGTTCTGGATCTTGTTTTTCTACATTTATACTTCCTAGGAATATATACTTGTGTGCTCTGTGCCTATTAGTCTTTGCCAAGTTAATAAGTAAATTGCCTTTGTACAAGATAGACTTCAATCATGCACACCAAATTCTAGTGAAAACTGTTGAATGGGAGTTCAAGCCATCATTCACTGAGTGAATAGTATTACACTTTCACACATGTTATATAAAACACGCCAGCCTGTAATCTTCACAACACACACGTGAAAGGTGCATTGTTACCGCTGGTTTTATTCAGAGTGGGGAACAAAACCAGGAAAGAAACAGCTGGTATTTAAACCAGATCTTTCTGACTTCATTGCTCATATTCTTTCTCATGCTGTGCTGCTTACAAAGGATAGACCATTTCCCTGCAAAACAAGCATAGTGCCCCCACTGGGATTCAGGTCTCTACATAAGGGTGAGGTGGATTGACCACAAAGCTAACGGAGCTTCAGCTTCAGTTCCTCACTTGTGGGGGCCCCTCCAGGACCCTGTGCCCACTTCTATATTTTCCCTGATCAGACTCAATGAAACTGGGACCTGATGATTTTCACAAAAATGTAAATAGTCAATATGGATTGAGTTCTGGTTAACAAATTCCACTTGGAGAAGACCATTCCTTTGAAATAAATTGGAGCACTTGCGGAGAGAATCGGTGATTTTTTTATTTCCACCAAGAAGTGATCTGTGGTGGTGGCTGAGAAAGCAGTCAGGAGAGCTGGGAGGGGTTCAGGGCTGGACCTGTGCACTGAGCACTTGCAGAGCTGTTGACCTGGGAAGTCAAACATTGCAAGCTGGGAGGGGTCACTAGCTAGAGAATCAGCTTGTGAGAAGTAATGAGGCTCTGAGTGGGTTCTGAGGAAATCCATCACTCACCTCCTGAGATGAACAGTAAGACTGCCCTGCTCCCGTATGTCTAGGCCAGAATAGTCGCATCCTGAAACCGCCCACCTTGGTGATTCCTGCTTCAGGCAAAAAGGCTTCTGATTGTGTGGTGGCATTGGGATGCACGATGGAAGATAGCTGCGACCTTTCCACACGGCCTCAGAGATCACCTTGTCTCAGCCCCTTATGTAATCGATGGGTATGGAGCCATGCTTGCTGGCAGTCACAGGACCAATGCTAGAGCATCTTCTGATCATCATCACCCCCCTGTGTTTGCCTGGAGATCAGCAAAATAGCCCAAAACAAGTGTTGCAGACCACCTACCAGAAATGTGCTGGGCCCAGTGGGGATTTGCCCAGCCTTGGAGAGATGGGGATCAGCCAGCACATCTATACCCCTAGAGCTAAGTTTGCATTGCTGTCTGCTACGTCACTAAGCACCACAGTGGGGCTGAAATCAGTGGGACTGATTTCTGTCAGTCCTCTGCGCTCCTCCCTGGTACATGCCCATTGTGTGACAGACTGAAGCCAATCTTTTATTGGTGCAACTCAATATGAAAGCCAGTGTTTTCTAGAGAACCTGGGGAGTTTTTCTGTGGTCTGCAATGGGATTTGGAGTGAAGATTGCTTGATGCCATAGGTCCAGGGCCAAGCCCTATGGGCAGTGAGGAGGGACAGAACCCAGAGGGAGAGCAGGCTATTTAGTGAATTGTTGAAACCTTTTGGGGACCTACTTTGGGCAAAGAACTGAGCTGGCCCCTGCAGGGGACACAAATAAGAGAGGGTTCTAGTCCCTCTTCCTTATCCATTCCCTGCAGAAAGTAAGCACATTTTATTGTGAAATTGTTAAAAGGTTCTATGTTTTAAAATATGGCCCTGCATTTACTTGCAATTTTACCTTTTGCCTGTGAGCTAGATTTTTGAATGTCAGTGTAAACTAAAATGCACACACACACAAATTATGTTTTGTACTGAACTGTAGGCACCCTCAGTGGGATTTCTGCTGGGTTCGATCTGAGGAGGGTGCAGGTGTGAACAGGGCATCATGCTACCATGCTTTTTACTCCACTGCGTAAAGGCCCTCAGCCCCGCGCACTGCAGCTGTCCCATAGAAGCTGGGCTTGTCTCATTCCCCTGGAAGGACTGACTACAATTACTTCCCATGTTACCTATATTTAATTGAGATATGGGAAATCTCTTGTGTCATTTCAAAATCCAAGTGAGAGGCAAGCACTCAGCTACCACACATAGGAAAAGCATGTCCTTTGGTTATTTTCAGTCCAGGATAAGTTCTGAGTACTTAACCAATTCAGAGTCATCTGTTTCATCAGACATAACAGAGACAGAAGGGCTAAAAACTGGCTATCTGGCTGCCCAGAGCCCAGTAGCTGGTTAACGCGATCCTGCCGATTCTGGTGACTGCACCAGGGAAACCAGCTGGAAACACAAGCGGCGAGAAGCCAGCTGGAGAGAATGCGTTTCCTCTCTTCTGCCCTGAGCCCGCAGAAGTGTCCTGAGTTGGTCTAGTAGTCGTGTCATCATACAGATAACACTAAAAGCTAGAAGAGATATCGAATCACTCTACAAATGTTGGCTATTGATATTTTTAAAAATTAATTCATGCTAAATTTTCTCTCTTTGAAGCTTTATGTACTGCTGCTATCTCTTTCATATATAAATGCAGAATTTCAGAAAGTGAAAATTGTCTTGTGTTTCATTGATTGGCCCTATGTTATAGTGGTCCATTTATGAACTCCAACAGACTACTCTTTTGAGCCCAATTAACATTTCCCCAAGCATCAAGGAGATGAAGGAAGAAGAATATTTTCAGGAAGAAGACAGTTAATGGGCACTACTGGAGGCTTGGAGCTAGGAGTGGAGTTGGTGAACTACGGGGACTGTGAGCCCCAGGCCCTGAAGGTAACGAGGTTACAGGATGGAAATGCCTGGGGCTGACGAGGTCTTCTGCCAAATTCTGGGTTTATGGTCAGAGGAAATGACATAACCCTGCACGTACAAACCTTTCCCCCTTTGGGTCCTAGGTATTTTTTCTGCTTGGAAATTAGGGTCTTGCCAAAGTTTTGTTCCCAAACAGGACAGAGGGCTGGGTGGTGACTCAGGCCTAGGAGACTCCCCTGTACCTCTCACAACTTCCCTGTGTGGACTTATCGATGAGGCCTTGCCAGGGAGCAAGAAAGCCCCGATTGTTTCTCTCTTAATGAAGTTACATAGGAAAGAAAGAGAAAGAACAAGGTAATTAATTTAGATTTTCTCACTAAAACCCAGAGTTCCTTTTTTGGTTTGGTCATCAGGCAAGTGAAGATTTGGCAATTGCCCTCTGCCCTCTTCATTCTCCTCTTCGGCCTCCGGCTCTCCTCCTGACCACTTCCCACCCCCGTCCCATTCCCCAGTTCTCTCTAGAAGCAGTTTCTATAAGCAAAGATTTCTACAAGCGAATGTGATTATGAAACACCCTTCTCTGTAAAACAACAAAATGCACACATGGTAGCATAATTTATACATAGTTTTACTTGTTGTTTTTTGACAGTATATTTCCCAGTGATTACAGAAAGACATGTTTTAATAAGAACAATCCTTTTAAAAAAATCGTTTTTTGTTGTTTTTTTTTTTTGTTAATCCTCACCCGAGGATATTTTTTCCATTGATTTTTAGAGAGAGTAGAAGGGAGGGGGAGAGAGAGAGAGAGAGAGAAAGATGGATGTGACATGGGTTGGTTACCTCCTGTATGTGTCCCGACTGGGTCCTGGGGATCAAACCTGCAACTCTTCAGTGTGTGGGCCCATGCTCTAACTACTGAGCCACACCAGCCAGGGCTAATAAGAACAATCTTATTTAACCTGAGTTTCTCATTGGTCGTAGACAAAGTCTCCCCTGCCCCATTTCTGCAGTAAAGGGGGTGGCTGGAGCTCTCTTTCCTGCTTTTCTTCCTCTGGAAGTTAAGGGATGGAACCAGCGGACCTCTCTATTTGCGTCCAGCCACTGAAATCTTTAAGATTCACTTTATAGGAAGGAAATTAAATGGCATCAAGTTTATGGAATTGCTTAAGGTCCAAACTGCATGCAGTGCAAGAATGGAAACCAAAGCCCTTGACTTCTAATACCAGGATCTTGCCACCAGACCACACTGCTGTTTGCTGCTTACTGTTTCCTCTTTGGTTATCAAGGGCCTGGGAAATCCCAGAGCAGAAAAAAGACAGCCTCTCACATTAGTTTCAGCAGTGGGGTATGGGGGACTGATAGAAACTATCTGGCTAGACTGATCCAGTTTCTCTTCTGTTCATACTGAGAGCCTGGATCCTGTCTTCATCTGATGTCATGAGATGTGATCTTTGTGGATGAAAATTCTCTGGGGTAAAGGATGGAGGGAGAAGAGATTCTACATATGAAGGCAAAAATCTAGGTGATATTAATGGAGAAGAATGGATGGTGTTTGATAGTAGAAAATAAAGTCATGAGCTCCTTTTTTTTTTTTTTTTTATCCTCACCCGAGGACATTTTTCCATTTTTTGTACAGATAGAGTGGGAGGGAGAGAGAGGAAGGGAGAGAGAGAGAGAAACATCGATGTGAAGGGACACATCGAGTGGCTGCCACCCGCACGACCAACCAGGGCCGGGGACAAACTGCAACCGAAGTACGTGCCCTTAGCGGGAACCGAACCCGGGTCTCTGCGGACCGCAGGCCGACGCTCTAACCGCTGAGCCAAACTGGCCAGGGCTCATGAGCTCCTTTTTGAAGTTAACAGTGGATAAAGAATGTTGCTGGGTAACAGCCCTGTGCCCAAGAACTGTGGGGTGCAGTTGTGGGTAGAAAATCATATTCCAATAAGCTAACTCTGTGGGAATGAAACTTCTTTTCATGTAAACTGCATTCTTATTTCTGTTTAGAATGAATAGAATCACAGTAAACTGAATTCATCAAAGTGATGCCAGATGTTCTAAAAATAAATCTCTTCCCAATTAAGCTTAGAGTTGGCAGTTGTGTTGGGGAGTGCTAGTCTCTTTCATAGTTTACTTTGGTGGCTGAGGCTCAGAAA